GTGAGAAAAGAAACTGTCCTCTGTTGAAAAACTTTCTAGATATTTAAATTGTTGTACTTATTTGATTTTGGTATCTCCAATTTGTAATTTGCATGTTGTGCATTTTTGTTTCCATTTTCGTCATTGTTCACAGGTTCAATTCATGGTATTCTTAATATCCTTCTGTAGAACTACATTTCTGTTGCTTCAAGTCTTTTCTTCATCTCTGAAACAAAGTAAAAATTACTGCTTAATATCAGTTCTCCTGTCCTAGACAATCTTGTCTAGGACAGGAGAACTGATATTAAGCAGTAATTTTTACTTTGTTTCTAATTTTACTTAATTCAAACACAAAAAAGCATTGTTAACAGAATTTATTGTTATTTGCTGCACTGATTGCTAAATACTTACCAACATGCATGTTGGAAGTCTTCAAGACATATGGTTTTTTTTTATTATTTGGTAAAGTTCCATGTTTGTGATTTTGTAGTGCCAATCTATAAAGTCTGATGAAGGATTGTCTTCTTATAGTTTAAATTAAATAATAGTCATTGTTCTTATAGTCTCTGTTTTTTTTTTGACATTCTAGAGTTTTTTTTTTATTTTCTTTGGTCGTAATGGTGTTAGGAGTAAAACTGAATGTTGTAATGGAATGTTCCACTCTCCCTATTACCTATTGTGGACTGACTATATCAGTAAATACCTGAGACTGGCTTTGGGAAGTGCTAGCCAATTCCCTGTCTTTCAGTAGTGTATTCTCTTTTACAATAAACCTCTCTTTCTTCTATCAATGCCCGTGTTGCAGTTCCTTTCACTCAAGTACCACCTTTGTCTATTTGTAACCTCTTTAAGGATACAACACAAAGGTTCTCCAGGCAGGATGTGGCACAAGGCCGTTTTTTATGTGGGGTTTTTTGAGCCCATAGCCCTGGGCAAAAATTCCCTGTAGACCCTGTATACATGGGGTCGGGTAGCTATTTACCTCCCTACCCTTTGGCATAGCCTCATCTGCTAAAATCCTTATTGGTTCAGTGTCAAATATATGAAAAGTGATATAATGAACTTCAATAGTTTGTCTATAAAAGTGTGCCTCATGTATGCAAATATTTTAAATATATCTAGTTTTGCTCTAATTAATTTTTCAGACTACCTATTTCTTATGAAATTGCCCTGTATTTATTTTCTGGTATTTTCCGAGAAATTTATGCTCCCTCTTTCTTTTATATCATCATGCCCATGACTGGGTGTGGTAATATGGTTACTATTCAGTTGAGTACCTGACCAGTTCACTACATATATATCATGGTTGTATACCTATGTCTCTCTCTCTCATATATATTTACATATATATATATATATATATATATATACACACTCAAGTAAAAATACATGGGTAAATAATCCAAGTGAATCCTAATAATCGAATGAGCCCCAGTCTGTTGCCCTGAAAGCCAGCACCTTGTGTTTGCTGGAAGCAGATTCTGTACTGATGCTGAACAAAGATATGCACCCATAGAAGGTGAAGCAGCAGCTATCAGCTGGGCACTTGAAAAGTTCCACATATTCATACTAGGTTGCCCAAACGTTATAGTAGTGACCGACCATGAGCCAGTCAAAGGACTTTTTGGTGATCGAGATCTCAGCAAAATTCACAACACTCGCCTATTCTAAGTCAAAGAAAAAAGCTTGAGATATCGTTTCACCATGCAACACTGTAAAATGGCACAGAGCCTCTGATGCTATTTCCCACAATCCAGTCACTACAGTACAAAGCCTACTTGATACATTCTCCATAGAACCCTCCCCTATAGACATTGATGAATCAGATGAGACTTGTGCAACAATGAGATTGACAGCCTTCACATCAATATCTCAGTTAGATGATAACCCTGCCATAACTTCCCCTGACCACATTCGTTTTGCTGGTCAAAAAGACACACAATACACCCTATTAGGGAAAACCATAGACAATGGTTTTCCAAACAGTCATCAAGCAATGCCACCTACAATCCGGGAATACTGGGAAGTTTGTAACTGCCTCAGCAATGACAATGGCCTAATACTACTTGACAGGAGGGTAGTAATACCAACCTCCCTGCACAAAAACATATTAAAGTGCCTACATTCAGCTCATCAAGGAGTAGTTGGCATGAAAGCGCGTGCCAATGGCTTGGTTTGCTGGCCTGGAATGAATGCCTCAATTTGCAATTACAGGTATAATTGCATTACATGTTCAAGGAATGCCCCAAGTCTACCACATGAACCAATCCACATGACACCTACACCTGAATGGCCTTTTCAACAAATTGTAATGGATTTGTTCTATGTTGGATCCTTCACATATCTTGCTTGTGCAGACAGGCTCACTGGATGGCTCATTCTGTACCACATCAAGCCAAGGCAAGCAGTTGCCTCCAGGTTGATATCCATCTGCAGAGAAATATTCCAAACATATGGTGCACCTGAAGAACTTAGTACAGACGGTGGACCACCTTTCTCAGCTTACTCATTCCAACAATTCCTAAAAACCTGGGCTGTTAAACAAAGAATTTCATCAGTGGCCAATCCCTAGTCTAACAGATGAGCAGAATTAGCAGTCAAGAGTGCAAAAAGATTCCTAAAAGACTGCACAGGACACCAGGGTTCCTTGGACAATGACATGGCAATACAAGCAATCCTGCAATATAGAAACACCCCTATCCAAGGCATTGGCTTATCACCAGCACAACTCCTGCTTTATAGACGTCTTCTACACCACTGACATCTCATTTAAACAGATATATTTACCAAATTATACAAAAATATTTTTAAATACTAAAGAGTAAATTTATTCTGTAAAATCACCATTAGCTTCAACCACAGCCTTCAGATGACTTTGGAATCTCCTGCATCTCTTCTGGATCGTTTCCTTCTTTAAGTTGGTGAATGCTACTATAATCCTTGCTTTCAGTTCATCTTTGGTATTAGAAGTAGTTGGTCTCTCACTAAACTGCACCACACACATAATAATCATGGGAGAGGGTTGCAGTTTGGATTAAGTGGCCAGATGTAAGGGGTGATGTGGTCATAGAAATTGTTTGGCAGCTGTGACCGGGTTCTCTTGCTTATGTGGCATGGTGCAGAGTCCTGTTGCCAGACATAGGGTTTTCCAGCAGGGACCCTCTTGATCCAGGGCAACACTACCTTCTAAAGGCATTTGATGTAGGTCTCCATGTTGAGCTTGTGGACTTGTTGGAAGATGAATGGAGGTATAGCATCACCATTACTAGTGATCACTCCAAAGACTTTCCTAATCACTATTAGACTCATCCAAATTTTTTCGAACCCTCTGAAATATTTATATTAGAGCCTCTAGCGCGAATGCCAAGCAGTACAGCATGCTGAGTGAAATGAAGTGAATTGTGTCATGGTGCTCTTTTTTTCACAGATGGTTCTCAACTGACCCTACTATAATGTGCAAAATCAAAATCAAACAATATGCATGCACAAAATTAAAAATATGAAATGTCAATTTATCCATCATATATATATATATATATATATATATATATATATATATATATATATATATATAATTATTTATTTAAAATTATAACATAAATATGTTATAAAATCACTACAAAAATAGCTATTTTGTTTCAACACCTCTGGTGTCTTATCAATGATGATGTTGAATGTAGAATAAAGGATTTTAAAAGGTTCAAATTAATTAACCACCTCTAAGGGGGGAAACGCTGTTACATAAGCTGAATGACCAATCAAAATACAAGTATATTTAGAATTCAAAAAACTTGACAAGCTAAGTAAGGTTATATAGCTATTAAATGCTTTAAAGTTGGGGTTATACTAAAATAGAATTTATTCTAACTAATAAGTATTAAATTATACGATAAAATTTGAAATTAAAATTAAAAATAAAAAATTACCCATTTTAAAATCTAAATTTAATCTCTCTTAAGTTTAAAATTATAAAATTACTAAGGAAAAAAGAAAAAATACATATGTTATTCTATTTATTTTGTTTTGTTTTTATTGAAATTATGTGGGAATAGACGTTTATATATATATATATATATATATAGATAGATAGATAGAGAGAGAGAGAGAGAGAAATACTTGTACAAGTATGACAAACACCTGAAAAAGTCTGTAGTGTACGATGGCTGAAACACTGTGAGTGTAACAAACAAAGAGGATCATATTGGTCTGAATGGAAACCAATATGGTCACTTTCTTATTTTCCAAGCACACCTGTCTGCTAGGGTGGTTAGCCAATCCATACTGCAGACACCTACTCAGGCACATTTGTCTTTGTTCAACACCCACAAAGCCCTTTCTGTGGCTTATAGTGCAACTATACTGAGCAGACATTAGTTACAATTTTTGGGAGAGAGCCTATAATCTGGTATGATTAGCAGTTTGAACAAGGCTAGTATGCTCAAAACTCTTGGTCATTATGACCAAACAGATCTGTCTACCCAATTTTGCTCACAAGGCTCAGGTCAACCCATGATAGGGTTTCTTTAGGCATTTTCCAAAGGTGCATGCTGGGATTGCCACTCACAGACTGACAATATCAAAAAGTGACAAATCAACTATGGTTAGATTCAAACCTAGTCTTCATGGTCAGAAAGCAATTTTTCTAACTACTCAGATGGATGAAAATCAAGATATATTTTTTTCTTATTGATCAGCTGTTAAACATTCTTTCACTCTGAACTGTATGTGTGTGTGTGTATATATTTGTGTATGTGTTTGTATGACAATATACATATGATCTCTTTCTCACAAAGTATACTATGTGTACTGCATATCCACACACAAAGAGTCTTATATAAAAAGCTAAGATATCCTCATCTGCTCTCGTCATATTTCTTTTAAAAGTAACACCTTAAGAAAAAAAAAAGAGAGTGGATTAAATCACTGAGTAAGAAATTTGAAATTTGAGCATTAGGCTAAGGAAAATTTCTTGAAGAAAAATCAATTCTCTCTCTTTGTTTCTTTCTTACTCACTTTTACAGACTCTTTTAGTCTTCTCTCTTTCTCTTATTCTTTCTCTCTCTCAAAACCTATTCTTTTAGTCTTCTCTCTCTCTTTTCTTTCTTACTCTCTTTTTCTCAAAACCTATCCTTTTAGTCTTCTCTCCTTCCCTTTTTCTGTCTGCCTCTCTCTCTCTCTCTCTCTCTCTCTCTCTCTCTCTCGCTCTCTCAAAACCTATCCTTTTAGTCTTCTCTCCTTCCCTTTTCTCTCTCTCTCTCTCTCGCTCTCTCAAAACCTATTCTTTTAGTCTTCTCTCTCTCTTTTCTTTCTTACTCTCTTTTTCTCAAAACCTATCCTTTTAGTCTTCTCTCCTTCCCTTTTTTTCTCTCTCTCTCTCTCTCTCTCTCAAAACCTATTCTTTTAGTCTTCTCTCTCTCTTTTTTTCTTACTCTCTTTTCTCAAAAACCTATCCTTTTAGTCTTCTCCTCCCTTTTTTTTCTTCTCTCTCTCTCTCTCTCAAAACCTATTTTTTAGTCTTCTCTCTCTTTTTCTTCTCTCTTTTCTCAAAACCTATCTTTTAGTCTTCTCTCCTCCTTTTTTTCTCTTTTCTCTCTCTCTCTCAAACCTATTCTTTTAGTTTCTTTTCTTTCTTCTCCTCTCTTTTTCTCAAAACCTATCCTTTTAGTCTTCTCCCTCCCTTTTTTCTCTCTCTCTCTCTTCTCTCTCTCTCTCTCTCTCTCAAAACCTATTCTTTTAGTCTTCTCTCTTTTCTTTCTTACTCTCTTTTTCTCAAAACCTATCCTTTTAGTCTTCTCTCCTTCCCTTTTTCTCTCTCTCTCTCTCTCTCTCTCTCTCTCTCTCTCTCTCTCTCTCAAAAACTATCCTGTTAGACTTCTCTCTTTGGCATCCTTTTAAGGTTAACTTTGTCTGCATCAAATTGCAGCTTTTATACTTTCATTTTTTTTCCCCTCACCCAAGACACAAAAGGTAATCATCACAAAAATAGATCAATTGTTCTTCTTATTTTTTTCTTATGGATTTATTTTGCAGAAATTACATCGAGTACATTCTGCTCATTTCCAGTATCTGACATCAAAAAGTTGTTCATTGTGTTTTTAAACAATGAAATACAGGCCACAAAACTCATGATATTCTATGATTTATATTGCATGAATTTTCATCTATCACAATGAACTGGCGTTTTCTTAAAGAGGCCCCTTGCCTTGAACATCTGTAGGGACTTAAACCCACCCCAGACCTCAAATGAAACTTGTATATACAATCCATTGCAGTCAACCCATGGTATGGTTTCCAGGCACTTTCCAAAGTTGCCGTATGCTGGGATAGACCCCTCCAGTCTGATAACATCAGGAAGGTCTATCCCAGCATGCGGCAGCTTTGGAAAGTGCCTGAAAACCATACCACAGATTGACCCAAGCCTTGTGAGTGAAATTGGGTAGACGGTACCCCTGGGGACTGATGATAACTGTGCTAGCACGGTCACAAGTCATCATGTCCGAGGGTTTGAGTATGCTGGCCTTGTTCAGATTGTTCATTACGCTAAATGCTCTTTCCCAGAAACTGTAACTAAGGTCTGCTCAGCATAGCTGCAGTATAAACCACAAGTGGGCTCTGTGGGTGTTGAACAAACACAAATGTACCTGAGCAAAGCGTCTGCAATAGGGATTGGCTAGCCACCCTAGTAGATGGGTGTCCTCAAATACGAGTGGCCCACTATACATATATATAAAATATAAAGACTGTCCATGTAGGAGATGAAAAACCCTGATTTTAAACTTCTGCAGTCTTGTGGTCATATCCAAATACAGAAGAGGCTATGGTAGTAAATTAAGACAAAAAACCCAGAGTAAAGCCCTGAAGGCAATTGGCTGTCAGCACTGACAACTTCCTAGCAATTCCTACAGCCAAGCCGGCCACAAATGTAATGCCCTGTTTTTTTGGATCTTGTTGGTACATCCAAAAGTGGGACCATGTACCATGTAGTTTGAGTAGCTCATAGCCTCTCTCTCTCTCTCTCATATATATATATATATATATATATATATATATATATATATATATGAAGAAAAATATACTGAAAAAACGAACAAAAATCCTAATATGCGATTATGCTGTTTTAATGTTTAATGTCAATGTCAGATGTTTCAGTCTAATAGACCATCTTCAGGACATATTCATAAAACATAATTAACATAGACCATATACAATTCAACATGAAAAAGACGGTGGACATAAAAGCAATACCAATCCAAACAGATAACTGAAATCTTTTATAAAATCAGCATTTCGTTTAAATATGATCATGTTGTCATCACGTCTATTAGACCGAAACGTCCGACATTGACATTAAAACAGCATAATTGTATATTAGGATTTTTGTTTGTTTTTTCAGTATATTTTTCTTCATACTGTCGGATCTATATCCATATATTTGCTTACCTATATATATATATATATATATATATATATATATAAAAGCAATTCACCCCAAGCAAAGCAGAAGTGACACTAACATGTAAAGAGTTACAGAGGATTGAGAACAAGAGTAAAAAGCCATATCCCTTTAGAATGTTGGCAATTATGGCTCTCCTCAATTTCCTGTCCTTTATAGATATTAGTAAATTTTGTCTTTTTGCTATCTCTCCTAATCCCTGTTCTGCTAACCATTTATACAAGTTCATTAGGTAGTATACTGTTTTCCTTGTCTCGTTTGTCTTCACTATGTTATGTGAGTGTCAAATTTTCTGAACCTTCTTTCTTTATTATGTGCCCTAGAAATTTCAACTGTTTTTTCTGTGCTAAGTATAAGTATTAACAAATGCTTAAATCTCCTAAAGAAATGTCTAACAAAATCAAAAACTAACCCCTACCTACCAAGAGACAAATACATACAGCTGTCATTTTCTAGTAAAATAAAAGACTGGATGATGTGAAGAAAGTAAGGAATTTTTTTTTGTGGTAGATAAATAGGTAAACTGAAAGAGCATCCACAAAGCTGAATGAAGAGTCTCTTACCATGAGGGTCTATGGCAGGTGGTGACACAGAAGCCAATGATTGGAACAAAGACAGGTGAATATGAGACAGGTGAATATGAGGTGAGTAATAGAAAATGGGGAAAAGAAAAAAATAGAATAAGGAAGGAAAAGAAGAAAAAAATGGACAGATTGAAAGGAGAAATGAAAAAGAATTAAAAAAAAATGTTCCAGAAACAGAGGCCAATAGAAAGGGAAAATGGAATAAAAAGTAAGGGAATGAAAGAAAGAGAAAAATATGCAATCTAGGAGGAACAAGCAAACATGGAAAAAGGAAGTTCAGAGGAACGAAAGTGAAAGGGAGTGAAAAAGAGAAAAGAAGAGAAAAATAAGAAAGAAATAAGGAAATAAATCAATGAGAAAATAGAGAAATCCAAACAATGAGAGAGAGAGAGAGAGAAGGAAAGATGAAGAGGCAGTGAAAGAGAAGTGAGATGAAGAGGTGAAAGAGAAGTGAGATGAAAGAGAAGCAAGATGAAGAGGAGGTGAAAGAGATGAGAGATGAAGGGGTGAAAGAGAGGCAAGATGAAGAGAAGAAAGAGAGACAAGATGAAGAGAAGAAAGAGAGACAAGATGAAGAGAAGAAAGAGAGACAAGATGAAGAGGTTGTGAAAGAGAGGCGAGATGAAGAGGGGGTGAAAGACAGGCAAGATGAAGAGGGGGTGAAAGACAGGCGAGATGAAGAGGGGGTGAAAGACAGGCGAGATGAAGAGGGGGTGAAAGAGAGGAGAGATGAAGAGGAGGTGAAAGAGAGGAGAGATGAAGAGGAGAAGAAAGAGAGGTGAGATGAAGAGGAGGTGAAAGAGAGGCGAGATGAAGAGGAGGTGAAAGAGAGGCGAGATGAAGAGGAGGTGAAAGAGAGGCGAGATGAAGAGGAGGTGAAAGAGAGGTGAGATGAAGAAGTGAAAGAGAGGTGAGGAAGAAGTGAAAGAGAGGTGAGGAAGAAGTGAAAGAGAGGTGAGATGAAGAGGTTGTGAAAGGGAGCTGAAATGAAGAGGAGGTGAAAGAGAGGCAAGGTGAAAAAGAGGTGAGATGAAGGGGGAGGTGAAAAAGAGGTGAGATGAAGGGGAGGTGAAAGAGAGGTGAGATGAAGGGGAGGTGAAAGAGCAGCAATATGAAGAGGAATTGATAGAATAGACGAAGGGGAGGTTGATAGAGTAAAGGAAAGACAAGGAGCAATGGGGACAAAGGAGATAAAAAACAAAAGAAGGAGTGAGAAAATAATGGACACAAGAAAACAGAAAGCAATGATGTAAATGGAATGATTTTAGTCAAAATGGCAGAAAGGAAAGATAAAATATGTGGAAAACATAATATACAAAAGGAAAGATAGAGAGAAATGAAAAAAGTTGCTAAAAAAGAAAAGATATAGACAGAAAAATGAAACCATTTCTAAGACTTTATCTAAATTGTAAAGATCTGTGCCAATGAACATTTCAAAATCTAACTTGCAAACCAATTTCACCTCAAAACACCACACAAAGACATAGAGACTGGGATCAATAGAAAGGATTGCATACAGGTGTGTAAGTAACCGACTCAACTTGTTCATACCTTGCCAGGTGAATATCAATATCACATTCACGCCCACTTCTCTTTTTTAGTGCAACCTGAAAGGTGAGTTGATAATGGGGCAACTACTGGTTGGACTGCTGTTTCTCTTGTGGCTACTTTCCATCCATTGTTATATGAAAATTCTGACACTGATGAGTACTTTGAAGCATCAACGCCTTTATGAATTTATGTATTATTAAGTAATCTTTAGACTTACTCAGGTGTGTGTCTATATCTAACTCTCTCCAAAGACAAAGAGAGAGATATTGACTTGTATAATAAAATACGGCATACACACATTATATACAGGATGCAATGGATAAATTGTCCTCTAAATTATGCAAAGATGAAAATAACACTGACATCTCATTTTAACAGATATATTTACCAAAATTACACAAAAAATATCTTGAAATACTAAAGAGTAAATTTATTCAATAAAATCACCATTGGCTTCAACCACATCCTCCAGATGACTTCAGAATCTCCTGCAACTCTTCTGGATGGTCTTCCTGTTTAAGTTGGTGAATGTTGCCATAATCCTTGCCTTCAGTTCATCTTTGGTTCTACAAGGAATTTTGTTGGACTCTCAAACTGTATCCCACATAAAATAATCAAGGGGATTGTAGTCTGGTGAGTTAGGTGGCCAGATGTAAGGGGTGATGTGGTCATAGAAATTGTCTGACAATCATGACTGGATTCTCCTGCTTGTGTGGCATGGTGCAGAGTCCTGTTGCCAGATATAGATTCTACTAGCAGCAACCCTCTTGACCCAGGGCAGCAATACCTCCTCAGTGCACTTGATGTAGGCCACTATGTCAAGTCTGAGACTCTGTAGCAAGATGAATGGAGGCATAATGTCATCACTAGTGATCATTCCAAACACTTTCATAAATCACCATTAGACTCATCCAACTCTTTCCAAATCCTCTGCACTGTCCTCAAATTGACACCCAAACACTCTGAAATGTTTGTGTTGGAGCTTCCGGCACAAATACCAAGCAGTACAGCATGCCATTTCCAAATTTCTGGCCAAGTGAATTGTGTCGTGGTGCTCTTTTTCTCACAGACAGTGCTCAACTGACCCTAATATACTGTGCAGTTGGCAAAATTAAAAACAAACAATGCACATGTGTGAAATTAAAAAATAAAATGGCAAGAATTTACCCATCACACTCTATAGCAAATTTTAAATTATATATATATATATATATATATATATATATATATATAAATATATATATATATATATCAATTTAAAATTTATATTATATATATATATATATATATATATATATATATATATAGAGAGAGAGAGAGAGAGATCAATTTAAAATTTGCTACATTTATAGGGAAGTATGCTCATTATTATCATTATTGATTATAATGTTTGTCAATATAATGTGTGTACATAGAAATCAACACTACATGGCAACTGTTTTATGTATTAAGCAATCATTGAACCATGATTGATTTCCGTTTATATCTATCTGTCTTTTTTCTCTCCTATATATATATATGTGTGGGTGATAATTAATATATGAATAAATTTTTTTTTCATATTGTATATTCAGACAGCAACCTTTCTTTTATACATGTTTCCACACAAGGACAACAAGGACAATCTTAAAGTTTTTGTTTTTTTACAAGATAATAAACCAAATTGCTATATTAGATATATATTTTCTAATGTCCTAGTTTCATAAAAAAGTACTTTTTTTGCACCCATTATAAAAATTCTTTTTATACAAGACTAAGATAATTGTTTTCTATATAAAAACTCTTGTAACTATTTGAAACCATAATTAAAAGACACACCAATATGGAATTAGAATATATATCAGCCATAATAGGAACACGGAAAACATTAACAAAGACTGCAAATGGTTACAAACAAAAGTGATCTCATTATGGACAGTTTCATTAAAAAAAAAAAAAAAAACTTAAAATTTTCCTTTTCTGTGACATCTAATAAAACCTGTATAAATATATTTTTGATGTAAATGAACTTATTACTGTTTTCTTGGCAAAGTAAGAGATTCAATAAAATTGGTTATTCTTTCAAACAAACAATATGACTTTTGCTTTTCTAATTAACACTATCATTCTAAAGAATCTGTCAAGCTTTTTTCTAAGTTTTTCTAAAAACATTTTAAATCAGTTTCTTTGACTTCATTCAATTGTAATGAAAGTTATCTTGAAGCCTTTGCATTAACGCAGACATCACCAATTACTATTCTGGAAACTGACTCAGTATGAATTTAATCAGCTTCTTTTTTTGATAAAGTCTTAGAAATGGTTTATTTTTTGTCTTAGTGTTTGTGGTAACCATTTGTTTGCGCATTGGCCACATTTTTAAATGATTTTTTTAACAAAACAAAGAACCAAATATGGAAGCTTTAGTTAGAATCATAATTTCTTCTATAAATAAGATAGCTTTGAAAAATTTTTTCTGGCTTTTTCCGAATGCAATACAATTTCACAGAATCTCACTTAAGGATCTCTTTTCCTGTTTTCCTATCAACTATGTCAATCCTCATCTTTTGTCTTCTTGAATCCTGTTCTTTTATTGTCCTCTGCTTTTTCTTTCCTCTCTACTCTAACCTTTGACCCTATCAAATGCTTTTATTACCTTGAATTCATTTTATTGTCCTCTGGTTCTTTCCTACTCTGTAACCCTTTGACCCTAAAAGCTTTTATTACCTTGCTTGGGGGTGAAATGATTTAAAAAAAAAAAATAAATAAAATTGTGTACAAACAACTTGTGCCCAAACATGTTTTTGTTTTGTTTTTTTTTGTTATTGAGGAGAAATTCACCTAACCTTAGTCTTATCAAGAGTTATACTGAAAGAGTATATTGAAAGTTTCCTTAGATTTACCCCCAAAACAGCAGCATTTAATGTAGGTGATTGGTGTAGTTTTTGATGATTATATTGGCAATTAGGCATATAGTCTTCTTGGATTCCCCTATTGTTTTTGACATAAGTTGTACACAAAAAAATTCTTTGCTTTCCTATGGAGTTTGATAAACTAGAATTTTTTTTCAACACACTGACATGTGTTGGAATCCTCACAGTATTTAGTACTGTTGAAGTTACTGCTAATATTTTTTGTTGAGATTTACAAACTACTCTCCCGACAGTGTTTATACTTACAGTGCTACTACTGTGCATTATATTTTACCAGAATTAAATATATATAAAAACTTAAAAGATGCAAAAAAACAATATTGCATCTTTATTAAATAAGTATTTGTTATTTTAATCATTAAATTGTTTTTAAAATAGTGGAAGTATTTTGTATGTTAAATAATAAAACTTAATTTTTCCAAAAAAAATTAATGAAAATTTATTGTACTAAGCTACACATTCTAATAAAACCAACTGTACTTTGTACCCCCTTACCTGTTTCCACTTCTCCCCAATATTTGGTTTTGATTGGTCAATGTATGGCTATTTTAGAGGATTTAATGAATGGACAGACTAACAGAAGTCACAGAATTTTATATATAGATAAATGACTTTCTGTTTTAGTTTTATTTTCCAGTTATATTTAATATTAGCTTAAAAGCTGCACTTAGTGCAGACTTTTAAGCTACTATGAATTCCCTAATTCACTCTATGGAACTTCAAAACCTTACTTTAACTCTGATTCAGGCTATAAGTCCAGTTCTAGCCAAAAGACTGAAACTCTGATTTGGGCTGAAATTCCAATTCAGGCAGAAAATAGAATTCTTCAAACCACAAACTCTGCAGAACTTCAAAACCCTCACATCACAAAACCTCTCACTTTAACACTGACTAGCAGTAGAGCCCGGCATTGCCTAGGGATGTAACAGTAAGAGATAGATCAAGTATCGACCATCATAAAGACTGAAAAACCTGGGTTTTATAATAAGTATGATTCCTTGACATTTTGAAGAAATAAAAGTGGATTTCTTCAATTCACAAAGTTTGGGAGATATTTTAATTGCAATTTAAAACAAAAATTTTTTAATTCAGTTTTTGTGTTCCTTTAAGTCAATATAAATTAAGAATTTAAAATTACTAATTTTTTTCAGCTATTTTAATATTTGAATATTTAATTCTTCCCTCTTTATCTGGACACAAATCCCAATGCTGGATGTTCAAGCACCAGATGAAAGGTAAATTTTCAATCCCAGGATCATCCTGATTTCAAAAAGATATGTCTATGTAGAGCAAGTGTGGGCAGAGTTAAAGGGGTTTCAAACAGAACTTGCTGTTTATTTATTTAGATAGATAGATTAAATGCTTAAAAAGTATAAAATGAATAAGTAATATTTATTAAAAACAGCTCAGTTTCCTTCTTGTTTTAACCTTTTATCACTACTTCTATAGACTTAACTTGTCAGTCAAGATAGACTTTTCTACCTCTTATACATAAACTTTAAGAATGTGGACATGACAATACAGGCCAAAATTAATAGATTAGATAAACCATTTTACTCAAACTTGTAGGATGTCAAATATATACTTGCTTTACGAATTCATATCACTCAAGCTTTTCATTTGTATGTGAAAACTAGTAAGGAAAATGAAAAATAATACTACAGGGTTGGTGTAAATGTCATCAGTATAATCTTTTGGCTGATGTTAAAAAGAGCTTTAAGATATCTTTGAAGTTTACAATTTTCTTTATTACTTATCCAAACATACTTTGTAATAATTTTTAACTAGTAAAATGATGATAATTTTACTTTATTTTAGTGAAAATCATGGCTGAACAGAAAATGCTCATTCAACAATACTTTGGGAAAAATACATTAGAAGCTAGACATTAGATCCCCAAATCTTAGGGTAATGATTCAGAAGGTGCCATTATATATCAGAAATGGTTTGTAAAATTTAAAAAGGTGATTTTTGAACTCAGGTAAAAGCTAAGTTTTGAGCTTGATGAAAAGGAGAGTTGAGTTTGGGAAAAGGGTGAAAAGGTTCGAGTTGAGCAGAATGTACAATATGTAAACTTGAGGGGTGAATT